CAAACTATGTCCTTAAATATGCAATTTTGATTTTTTTTTCTTTAATATAATTTTTATCAATCTGTGATAAGTATTTTTGACTAGCGTGTATAGGTTGATTTAAATTGTATAATAATATATGTTATATAAAATTAAAATAAATGGTTTACTGAATACTAATAGGTATATATTTTGAATGTTTTCAGCTAATTGGTTTATAAGAACAATCAAAAATAACGAAAAAAAAGAAAAACTATTTCAATTTTCAAATAATATAATATGACGTAATCCATAATTCTTCAGATTGACAACATTTTAGATATTGGAACTTAAAATATAATATACAAACCATAATATTATCATTATTATTTTAAGTGTTTGTATTTAATTTTAATTTTTTTTATGAATATGTTGAGATTAAAATTGTTTATTACATTATAAATTATAAATTATAAACATTATATAATACACGATATTTAATTTTGCATGTTTAAATTGTATTGCACTAGAAATATTTTGTACCATCTAATAGTTTTCGCTTCAACTAATAGACAAAGGCTTGTCATTGTCGATATCGTCAAACGACATACCTACAACTAACCTATTGGCGTCAATTAGGTTGTTTTAAAATGATTTATGATTTTCGTATTTGCATGCATAAAATAGTTTAAATACTCTTAATGGCTTAAAAGAATCTTAAGTATTTTCGGTGAGTTTATTATGATTACTATTACCTAGCGAATGGAAAGCAAAACCATAAATAGCTGTGCACAATAATTGTGCACATTGAGCTACTCAGCTTAAGTATATTGATTCTTAAAATTATATCCATCACTCCAAACACAGTCGTTTTCAATACCATTAAGTCAAATTTATAATGGCAAAATAAATTATAATAATTACAAAAAAAAAAACTGTCATATAACTAAAAGTTATTAATTCACTTTTAATACAGTACACGCTGTGTTTTGACAAAATGACGGGGAGTCGCCGCTTGGATGAAAAAAATGTACGTTTTAATGTCGTGCTACGTTTATAATAAGTTTTAAATAGGACAAACGATTTTATGATTTCAAACAGCCAGCGGGGGGTAAAATAATTTCCATCAAGCTTTTAAACAGGCCGTGCCGGTGGGACTCTGTACTTTTATGCCTCGCTCCTGCGTCTTCGCAATAATAATAAGCTTCCAAAAACCGTTCAAAGGGTGAAACGTCCGTTTTTAAACAAAATGATGAAATAAAACGAAACTAATTATATGGCAATCGCACCTGCAGCTATACCTACGTACACCGTGCGTAATACCTCGGCACGTATTTGTCATTAGCCCCGACGAAAACACTGTGACGGCGGAGAGAAGAAATGACGGGGCGCGGAGAGGCACGACGATAATTCCGGGGGATTTGGTGGACGGAGCGAGTGAGAGAAACGACATTGGAGTTTGTGGGGGGGGGGGGAAGGAGAGTAGAAGAGTGATGGAGAGGGAGGGAGATGGAGAAGAAGAATTGATCGAGTTATAGTAAACTTGACGTGCACCTAATATACATTGTACATATGTAGTCGAATAAATCTCGTGCACCGGACCCTCGTGTCCAATTTGTATATTTTCGACGAACACACAGGCGCATGCGCGTAAAAGCGACCAATTTGCCGGCACCCCGTGAGTAGCGCGTTTGCGACAAATATTATAATAACATTTGCTTCCTCCTCACACGCCCCCCTTGCCGACGACGATGCGACTTCCTACGATTCGCAGCACACACCCGCACACACTGTTCCTCCGACATGCGAGTGTATTGTGTGCCGTTGGTGTACGTTTATTCTTATATGTGTGTGTGCGTGTGCGTGTGTGTGTGTGTGTGCGCGCGGGTAGGCGTGGGTGGGCGCGGGAAGCAACAGCAGCGGCAAAACGTTTTGAGTTTTTGCAAAGGGGCGATGCTGCGTGCTTCCGTGTGTGTGTGTGTGTGTGTGTGTGTGTGTGTGTGTGTGTGTGTGTGTGTTTGCGATATTAATATAATACACGCTGCGCTCGGTGTATGCCGCGTCTCAATAATAATAATAATAATAATAATAATAATAATGATATACACAGAAGACGATGAGACATTTCTAATGGCTTGTCTGGATGACAAGGTAATTAGTGATTTAACCCGCTGTGAGCCTTTCATAAGCACGCCCAGGGCCACTATATATGTACACACGGAATACCACATATACAGAGAGAGTATTCGAACGGGGGCATAACACACGTGTGATACCAGAAATATCACTGCTGCAACCCCTACTCGGGTAGGGGGTGGATGGGCCGACTGAAATTTGACTATAGTTCCCGTTAAACTCAATTAGACGCTTGTTTTTGCTTTTGGAAAATCCGTAGGTACATAATTGTACGTTCATTCGTATACGACGCTCATATATAGGCGCGTCGTACGGATACGAGCTCGGATATTCTAAGAATTAATAATATATTATGTTTAATATAATCTGCGGCGCTCGGCGTGGCGGGAAAGGCGTGTGTCAAAGGCATGATATGACGTCGTTTTTCGGTATCCGCTGTCTACGTTAATTTTCGTTTATTGTTTAATAATAATTATTAGACGACAGGAATAACAAGACATTATTATTTCACGTAATATTATTTCGCACCTATGACCTGCGAGCTGCGTCTCGTCCGAACTGTTTAAGACACATGCGACCTGTGTACCGATTGAAGTTAAGCGAAAAACAATATATAAAGAGTAATGCTATTACAGGCAACGTTTGTTGTGGCCCAACCTTTTTCCAGCGATGATACATTTTTTAAAACAATTAATAATAATTTACTAAAAAACCGTCTGAACGACAACGTTTAAAAACAGTATATTATATCGCAAAATGTGAAGGTTTCCTTACTACCTTAGCTCAATAATAACATTATATTAGGACGTAGTTTGTTTAAGCCACGTTGTATTCCACATTTCCAAGTCACCCATTTTATTGTTATGTGGGTTTTCTAAGAGGGCTTAGTCCACATAGAACGGTAGAACGGCAATAATCCGTACCGCGTGATTTATCAATATATACAAGAGATAAGGATAAAATATTACTCGTATATTGGCGTATTTCTAAGGTATTTTGAAATTTTTTTGTAACTTAACGGTGGAATGAACATGACGTTTGCTCTGGATCAGCTCCCCTTTAAGGTGTAGCACCATCATATAATAAGCATTAAGCAACAACAATACACGAGAGCCTCCAAAACACTTCTTGAAACTCGAATTAATTACACATTGTCAACAACCCCACAGCATACAAATCTAAGTGAATCGCTTCATCATTTCTACAATCGTTTTTTTCTTTTTTTTTGCTATCACTAATTTTTTACATCAATTGTTTACATAAATACCTACGAATATGAAATATAAAATTATTATATTATTAATAGTTATTCTAACTTCTTTTTGACTCTCTTCTCGACACTACCTAGTCATTCCAATACATATTCATTTTAACATTTTCGCTTTAATAGAGCTGGACAGATTAAGTATAAGTAACACACACATACCCACATTTATCTTAGATGTAAATATACTACATCCATAATTTAAATTATGTTTCAAAAAATTGAAGGAGATTTATAATAATTTTCAACGTATTATGTCACATGGAGTACAACAAATTTGGAAACGCTTTAACTACTGTTTATAAGAGTATTTTTTTATACCCACATATAGTAATGACAGAGAACAAGATATACCACTGTCGCACATTTATTGGGTAAAATATTTAATCATCTATTCACCTTATTAATTTACATAATTACCATTTTTTTTTTTATTTGAAATAAGCCTTGGCAACTATGGCCATTCGCAACAAAGAATTTAACTCTAAATTGTTTACATGATATATGTTACATATGATAATTATCATTGATCAATCCTGATCAGTGTAATGACCGTTTCCAAACTTTTTGAACACTGCTTATTTCTATGTTTAAATAAAAATGTTTATTCGTGCTCACGTATGTACAGGTATACAATACCAACGAGACAACTCTTGGCTATGTTGTTTGTGAACACTCGCCTTCGAGAAATATTGTTTTTTCTTACGTGCTTGTTTGTACTAAGTGTTCGTAAACATTGTTTTCGGCAACATGGGTATTTAACGTTATAATAATAAATATATCCACACTTAAATTTCGATTTGAAACGATAATGTAAAATTGAATTTTCTTATATCAATCGATCAAAAAGATACACATGAATGTATGTGTATAATTTGTTGTTCAATATTACCGAACCCGGAGGGCGGAAAAAAATATACGTGATCGTGTTGACTAAAGATTCCGTTTTTTATGCGGGTAATCACGACTACCATTTAAATTTTTTTTACTTCTTTTACACGAGTCCTTGGGTTGGGTATAATAAAATTAAAATATATTTTTAACTACGTCCAAACACAGATCAATAGAATAGAATTTTACTGTAACAGTGCGATTAAAAGCCTGACAAGATATCAACAGTAGAATACTAGATATATTATTATCAAAGTTCAAAAAAAAAATATTGCGTAAGTCCAAATTCATTTTTATAATCGTTTGAAGTTCGAATTTTGACGAAATTTATGAAAACCATAAACACTCACAGAAATGTTTATTTAGTTAAATTCATAATATTTTTGAACGTTTGAACCGACGGGAAGTAGGTTCTTACTGTTCTTAGTGTCACTTAGATGGAAATATTGTGCACTCTTTGTATAATTCAGTGGGTCGAAATTATTTAAGTAATTAAATGTTATAATAATTCAAAAAGTATTATTCTTAAGGACCTAAAACTTTAGCCATTACAAATACGTATGTAGCAATATTTATTTTAATTTATTTAATTTGTAGGTAATATGGGACTTTTGGGACGATGTGTATAATATTATAAACATATATATTTTATTGATATAGTTTAATAGTTACATTTAATGACAATAGTTTTTTTGGACACAAGACGCAAATTATAAAAGATCATATTGTAATTTAATAATAAATTTATAACTAATTTATTTAGGCTTTCGTATTTATAAGCCTAAAAAGTTATACATTTTTAAGCAAACTGATATAAATAATTTACATTTATCTCAATTTGTGTACGTTATAAATTATTTTATCAGTTGTATTAAATTTTGAATTTTTTACTTCAGGCTCTTAGATATCTACCTGCATGATAAAAAAAAATCATTACAAAAACAACCATTGTGTTCGTAATATTTTATTTACAAAGTGTGCACCAGAAGGAAATGCAATGTAAATTAATTCAATACTGCCTAGGTATTAAAACTGTTATGTATACATTAATATTCTAATCAAAATTATTGGCTACATGATGAAACACACTGATATTTTCTCCACTCTTCCTTAGTTTCCATCTCTTGTTGTTCTTGTTTATTGTTTCTATTACTATTTTCAATCACAGCCAACCACCATGCGTCATTATTTACTACGCTCCCTGAAAAAGATAAAAGTACCAAGTGGTTATAATTTTTTTTCCCATTTTATTGTTATTATGAGCACGAGTGATGATCAACCTAAAAGCAAAACAATGACAATATCTAAATCGTAACATTTCACTATTTTGCGATAAACTATATAAACATGATTATATTATTATGTTGCTGAGGCCACACCTTAGAATTTAGTTCATTATATGATTCAAGATATAAAATATGTATGTATGTATGTATGTATGTATGTATGTATGTATGTATGTATGTATGTACTATGTATGTGATATAATGCCTACACTCAATCCCAGTGAAAATAATGTCTTGAATAGATATTATTAGTTTAAAAGAGATAGATTTAAGTCTTCCTCGTGGGAGATGCAATACTGTATACACATTTATATACACTATTACTCTATATTTGAACACTATTATTAAAGAGTTTAGACTTTTTTTATAGAGCACAATGAAATTTCCCAGCAAGCTACGAAAGTCTTTGGGGGAGCTAAGAAGATGTTTGAAAGGGCCAACATCAACGTCAATGCGATACTTCTTGGAATCCTTAAACTCGATTTCCGAATCCCGGTTATACAAAATACAAATATGACTGAAAAATAACGTCTCGTACTACATTCAATATGTATTATATTATATTATTGAACACGATTTCGAACAACGATATGGATACGAACGATGTCTCTGTCCGTCTACGGTATTATATTATTTTAGTGTATTACACTAATAAGCATGGAAAATAATTCTTCCTCCGTCGTTTGCGTGAGATCTAACTAAATATTATATAATATTTTTTATGCTGTATACTATAACTAATCGTAAAGTTACCGCGTTAAGTTGTGTCAGTATATTCGTGTAATGGGGGTTCGTATTATTTGTTCAATAGTATAATAATAATTACTATAGTCCACGACAACAACTGATGAGTAAGTTGGTTTATATTACGCAGTTTTTCCGGTCCAGTCGGCGGTTGTGCAGTGGAGGGCTGCGACGAGTAGTAAGCGCTGCAGCAACAACCTTCGTCGTCGACGGATTCTTCGAACATCGGTCTGATCTCCCCGTCGTAGCCGACCACCGTACGCTGCCCAAATCGGTTGCCGACAAACAACGGCACTCCGATGATGGACCGTCGCGATTTCGGGATGACCTCCTCCGACTCGAGTTGGCAAGCAAAGACCGCCATGCACTGCAACAGCCCCAAGACAGCTGCAGTTGGTCGGTGCATCGCCGTGCACCGGTCCTGGGCCGGATGGCAGCGTGTGACGAGCAAAAGAAATAATTTCTCTTAAACAAAAATATGTCCGTTGCAGTTCGGTTGGGAAATGACGATGGCGGTGTTCATATTCAGCAGTTGATTTGACGATATTAGTATATGATGAATATTTTGCTGTTTTGACCGAGTGGTCAGGTGCAAGTCGTCGGCAAATCTTCGGCAGCTCTACTCTATAGCCTAACACGATTTTACCGGCGCCGCGGAAACAATTGACCTCGGAAACGCAGGCGATGACACGTCATGATGATATGATACCGACTACTCATAACAATAACATAATATAAATATTACAATATTATCATATCGGGTTCTCTAACTTGCATGCACGCACGTATAAAAATATATGAGACCGAGTTTGTCCCGGACGACCTTAATATTGGGCAGGCAAGAATAGTATTATTCATCGTTCTGTATAATTTAGTACAACTTGTAATACTCGTCGACACTTTTGGCAGACTCGGTTTGATCGAAAAAAATATTTTGTTGTTGACTCGAAACGACCGGGACACTGTACGCAGGCTTCGAGTAGAAAATTCATATTTTCAAAAATGTAATTTAAACTATTCTAGAATAATCGTTTGTTTTAATACTATTCATACATTATCACAATACGTTTTGTACAGGTGAATAATAAGTGTAACGAGTGTATTATGTTACAAGTTGGCGCCAACGGTCACGGACACGTAATTATTGAGACACTCTGTATATATAAACGAACGCCTGATGAACTGTGTACATTTCAATGATTATCGCATTCCGATAACGCTTCGATGTTATTATTACCTCCGTATATATATACTCCACTGGAAGCGTTTTTGTTGACATCGTTTTTTTTTCGCTGTTATATAAACCACGCCATGTCTCTGCAGCAGTATACACAGCCGCTGCAGAATATATATTAATACAAACTGTTAGATCGTTAGGTGTGTTACATATATGCGTACGCTGATTTTTGTCTAAGCATTTTATTATCCATGACAATCGGTACATTTGAAATCTAATAATTTTTCGAACTGTCAATGTAATTATTTATTATTTCAAAGTAATATTTTTGTTTCTAATGCACCTCCTAGGCCCTAGCTGCAAGCACCAATGGTTATTACATATTTATTATTTTTTAGAGGGGTTGAGCATACTTAGTTTACCATGCTTATAGAATAACCTTTCTTTCTTTGTTTGTCCACTAGACTGGACTGTTTCTATGTATGCAATGGATTATGCTTAGAGTTTCGGGGAATGTTTATAGTTTCGTTTTTCCACCTTTATAGGTTGATACGAATGGCTCAAACATGAATTTGTTCGGTTTACGAAAATTGAATGTTTTTTGTTCATACAAAATATATCTTATGTCGTTGTACACATGATTTTTTGGATGATTATGGATTAATAATATGGAATTTAAAAAAAAAACGAAAGAAAACGTATTTCTTTTTTAATGTGACTAAACATTTTCAGCTTAATCTCAAATTGTTGCAGCAAAATCAAAATCGATTTTATCTTTCAAATGGTAACAATTGTATTTTTTAATGGATTTAGGTAAAAATCTTTTCAGAAAATGTTGACTATAAAATTATCAGTTTTAGTTCCCTAGTTTATTAACTACAGTCCTCAAAAGTAAATTCATTAATTCTTTTAATTGATTTTATTGCAATAGGTTTCATTTACTGGATCTAAATTTTTTTAAACTATTTTTTAATGCAATTTCATATATTTTTATTCACTTGTATCGTTAATCTGATGATACACTTCATAAAAATTAATTAACTCAAACACTTTACATAGTTCATTATTCGTATTTTAATTTTTAACATACAATCATAAAATATGTATTATTATTGTAATTGTTATAATCATAATAAATTGGTTATCTTACATTCATTTCTTCACAATTACTTTCCTTACAATAGTATTACATAAATAGACAATACCGGTATAGGATGATCCCTAAATTAGATAAGTACTTTTAATCTGAGACCCCGTTGGTTTTTCCTGACATTTATAAACGATACTTGTGATATAATGTTCATATATATATATTTCTTTTTTAAATAACGTCTGTAAGCAGGGTAATTGAGAAAGATTTAAATTTGATGGATTAAAATATTTACAAATAATACAACATTGAATACATACAAAGTTGATAATACAAAAAAAAAAATATTATGAAAATTATCGAGCTATTTAAATACTTGCATAAAATGTATGGTAAAAATGTCAAGTCTCTATACGGTTAATAATTATTTAATTGTGTATTCACAGAAACGACGACTCCGATAATTATTGTGTTTACTCAATGTTATTTAAATTAAATTTGAAGTATATATTTAAAAATGTCTTCAAAAGTGACCATGTAATATTGTTTATTACTAAAGACATTATGAGACATTATGAACTTGTATAGGCAAGTTTTTACTTTGACCTTCTTAGACCAGTGAAGGATATAAGATCATTATTTTTTAGTCAGTTTCAAAAGTGTAGGAGAATACAGTATCTTTTATTCTCGGGTAAAAAAGTTATTGGTGTAGGAGTTTGGCCTACACGTCATAATGCTGTAACTAAGGATAGGATTTGGTTATACCAATAAATGTAAGAAATTGCAAAAACTTACAATCATTGGAAATTTGATTCGTACGTATCTAATCTCCAGATTTCTTCAGCTTAAAATAGTTTATTAATTTATGAAGTTTAAGAATAAAACACGTGCAGCTCTTTCGCATTGTTTTTGTATGGCTAATTTAGCCTATGGCCTATTTTTTTATAGCCAAGTTTTATAATTTTGTCAATTATTCAAAAATGTATTTATAGTATTGAAAAATATCAGACTGCAAAAGCAATTGATCAGCTATAAACCATCAATCACAATAAACTTAAAAATATATGTTTTATATACTCATTTAAACGAAAAATTGATCCAAAAATTAAAAAAAATAAATAAATAAATATATAAGTTGTTTTACACTTATTATCATTGCTATTGATAGAACGATATGAAATCTACATATAATGGTTTTATAATTCATAAATGTATGCAAAAAAAAACAAACACTTTGACCAGTTTTAACCACAATGTATTATATCTGAATGATGAGCTACGCAATGCCGTACTAAACGGGTATGATACAACAATAATTGTAATTGACCAATTGAAAACTTTTAATTTTTTAAGATTTTAATTTTTTTACACTCTTGATTTTAGAAAAATTATGTCTTATGTCTCAGGAAATAGAATCATCTTATAGTCATGACACAAACTATACACCTAACATAATCCAAAAGCAGTCAACACATACAATTTTTATTAATTCATTACATTACTAGTATATATATAATATATAAATTGTTTTATTAAACTGTATACAGGTATAATCCATAGGAATCAATAATAATGTACATATAAACATACAAGACGTTATGCGGTAATTTGTGAAATTGCAACATGACAATATATAGATGATGAATAAAAAAATGTTTACGTCAAATTATATACGTACAACATATTTTGATATTTGATGAGTGTGTATATTTAAATATCTGCATTATAGATTCATATACTCAGTTCTCAGAACGTTCTTAAGAATACTACAATCGGCTTCAAAACTTAAATCGCTTATGATAAAACGATGATAGTGTGAAACTTGACATAATTTAAATTAATATTCAATATTGTTTTCCGAAAAACCTATCAGGGTGGTCAACTCGAGAAAGGTTGCACGCATGAAATACGTAGGGATATGGAAAAAAAATATACGTTTTTGCCAAACAAAATTTCAGCTAAATCGGAAATATTATAAATCATCATGAATCCTTATGAATGAAAATCAAGTAAAGCTAATCACTATGTCAGATCAGCACCTGAATCAGTAAAATTCGTTGGTGAGTATTTAAATCCCTTTCTCAGCGGTATAATGCATATAATATTGCAGTCCGTGTGGCCTAAGAAAAAAAATAATTTGTTATATAATTGTATAGTTTTGTTATATTATTTTATATATTATTGCATACGGTGAATTTTATTTTAAGAGCTATGATAACTCAACAAATTCAATTTTTTTCTAACTGATACACTGAGTGTAGTAAAAAAAATAATCTAGATACAGGACATGTGATGTATATATATGTATATATACCTTTATAAAGCTAGTTAAACAATGAGAAAAATGTAATTGAATCACAAATTTCAATAGATATTGTATTTAGTGTTATCATTACTGTGGATTTTTTTTAATTTTGGCTCACAAGTTACGATGTTTTGTTACGTATAGCCATCGTATTCTAATAATAAACTCATGTAGTTATTGGAAAAGTAGCACAGAAATGCCTTATTATATAGTTAAAAAAAAATTCAATGTAAAATATAATATCAGTCGTATTGTTAAATTGTGCTACAACATTTAAATTATTGACATTATTATATCGTTTATAATCAAACAATAGTGGATCTATATCTGATTAAGAGACTGAAGGGAACTATAGACACAAAATTTGCACTCACCAATAAGTGTTTTAAAAATAAATAACGTGCTCGGCATTTCTAATGATAAAGACTAAACAAAACTTAAGTTGTTCTCCCTTTATAAAATTGCCAACAAACGATATCGGGTTGGGTTGGGGTACCTTTTGTATAGTAAATAACTGCTCCCTTCCATCCCCTGTAGCCCCAAAATATTATTCACTTACGTCACCGGATGAAATGTAAATGTCTATGGTATGTAATATATGCAAAGTGTATACCTATATACCAAAATACCATTCTATTAGTGTTATAACGTCTTATAATCATAATAATAATGATAACAATAACAATAACAATATTTATATAGGTAGACATAATAATTGCATGCATTATAATTTATAATGTAGACAGGTACTAACTGAACTGCAAAACTATATGCATGCTACAACTTGATGTATTTAATTGTATTATACCTGTTGAGGAAAAAATGTCAACAAATTAATATGTTTTTCATATTTCAACTAACTAGATTGTAAAACGATATTGTTTAGTCTCGTTACAGCCAAAACGAGGTACCTTCAAAAACATTGTACTTGTTTTAAGATTTAAAGTCCATTGAAACGACTCTATTAAACTATGATATGTAATTTTTTTTTAAGATTAACACTTATTTAATTTTTTTTCCCAAAACTACTAGCGTTTTTGAATGTATATAATTTTTTATTCTTATTGTCGTGGTTTTTAGGTTTTTAGTTTTTTAATGACATCGTACATTTTTAATTTCATATCAACGGAGTAGTAGTGTAGGAGTTGCATACCA